AGATTGAATTAGAAATCTCTTCCTCCTGCACTTAATAACCATTCTTTTGTTAAAAATATCTGTTACCAACTTAATAAAGATCAAAGAACACAACATGGCATACTGGATGAGATTTTTATACTTTTGTGTGAGAAAATACATCCACACAAACCTTGAGTAATCATTTATTAATAATGCATTGTATAATTTTCCATAGAGTGCGGCAATAAATGAGTTTCTTTATATGTCACTATATATATATATTTATTTATTTATTTATCTTCAAGTGTTTATTTAAAACTATGTGTTCTAACATCAAAGACTTGTGTGTGATGTCAGACTCTTTTATGATGTTGTTAAAATGTCAAGTCAACTTAACCTAAACCTCGTAACATCTTCTTCTCATCCGTAACACTAAAGTACAGAGAGAAGTTCACTCAAAGATGAAAACATAAACTTTGAAGATGAAAGATATCAATCATAGTTTTCCCTCATTTATATAGCTCTCACCAACAAGTACAAGATGATAAGATCTTATTTTCATCTCCATCACACTCATAGTAAATTGATTACGTGTAAGATAACCCTAACAAGCACACGGATGGTTGACATGACGTTTCAACCTAACACACTCAATCCTTACCTAACAAGCACATTGATCGTTGACATTACAATGTTAACTAACATATTCATTCTCTAACTACCAAACCTGTGGATCGTTGACGTGACTGCTATGACAAGTGCATTGTAAAGTATCTATATCAACATTTAGAGTTATCTTTACTTTAGTTTAAATTAACTAAATATGGTTTCATCATCAAGGATTTACATATATATATATATCTATCGCTCGTTGATAAAGCTTATAATGTTGCACATGACACATCTCAACTTGAGATTTGGTAAAATAAACTTTACCACAAATAGCAATATGCTTTTGCAAGTACAAAATCTTGTGTTTATATCTTATGAGTATAATTTTATCATTTGATCTAACATCTATCATGCATTTCATGAAGCTATACTCTAAAAATTTTGAGCCTAACACACCAATAAGGTATAAACCTAACTTGGATTAGTGAACATTTGACCCATCAAACATGCAAATTTTCAAATTTAAATATTTTCCATTCTTCAAGGTTGATCATTTAACTAAAAAATTGAGCTGGTTTATCTTGAAAACATACAACAAAAATTCTATAATGTAAAAAATTTGATAAGAACAAACGTTTCAAAATTCATACATCATCAACAACCTTTCATGAATTGCTGAGAGCATAGATTTGGCGTCATAAATCATCTTGAAGTTCGTAGTCCTCGAGGTCGAAGTCTTGTGTAATATTTGTCACTTGAGGAAAAATGTGCCTTTGACCTTCACTCATGAGTTCTTCTTCATAGTTCCACTCTTGGTAAAACTTCCTCAAACCAACATCTAATTTTTATGAAACTTCTTCTAGAATTGAAATATTTTACTCAAAATGACCATAATCATTGCTCTTCAATCCAACACGTTTTCAATTGTTGTCACACCTCAAATGTGATCAATCTCGGATCATAGTCAGTGCTGATCCCAAAATGAATATGTGAGATAATGACATCATATTCCACTTCATCTCATATGTCAATAGAAGGCTTATTACCTAGTTGTAAGTGATCTAACTATCACAATAGAGCAATATACGAAATAGCATATGGTATGAAGAAGTAAGCAAGTTAAAAAAATATAGAGCATTTTTTTGTCAAAAATATTCTTTCTTAGATTTAATAAAATCTATCACTATATCATTGTATGCAATATGTGATTATGGACAATAATCGCAATTTCATCTTGAAGTTTATCATCTTCAAGGATGTGTACAATTTGTTAAACAATTCCTTATGATGAAACTGTCACTGAAGAACGTCAAAAAATAGTATAATTCCATCATACGCTTTAAACTACTTCCAAACCAATTGATATAAATATCTCATAATGATGTATACTACTTGCTCTTGTAAATTCATCAATCTATATCGCTAAGTTCAGTGCTTTTCTCCCTCAACAACATAGCAAGGCCCATGATCTTTAATTTAGGTTTTAACTTTTTTTTTCAAAGCATGTAATATTTTTATCAATTGAACATCACAATTTCATAGCGCGATAATCTTGAACTCGCTCAATGCCAACTCAATCTAACAAAATGTTGTCGTGCAATTATATATTAAAAGTGACATAGTGATACACAAATTACTGTTATATACTTCTTGTTCAGGTGGTTACAACCTTGGTTTAGCTAGCTATAGTATAATCCAAAACATGAGTTAATATCAACAAGTTTTATTATGTGTTATTATCAAAATCTACAAAGTATATGTTATATATTCTAATTTTGAACACTAATTTTGCATGAATTATTTATCATTAATTGTAAACAATATTAAATTAATGAATCTCTATATATTAAAACATCATATTACATCCATACATTGAAATAAAAGTCATATATTAACTTGATAAAGCTTATTGTTTGAATGATCTTTAAATATTGTTATCCAATTTTTTACTAGATAAATTTCACAAGATTTCATCTCAATTCATCCACACGTGTTTGAAATGTAACAAAATGTTTTTTTTTTCAAATTTGTCTTTGTCATTTTCATTGAATGTTATATTTTTCTTTTAACTTGACAACAAGTATTGTATTTCATGATTTTTTGTAATGATTAAAAATATCAACTATCAATTTTGATATAAACATTATTGGAAACTGTTGACACCACTAAACACATGAGAATAAATGTATGAACATAAGGTATGTTGAAGTTGAAACACTATTTAGGTGAAATTGTGTACCAAAATATCTGAATAATTGCAAACAATGAAAAAAAACCAACATTTAATTGCATTTAGATTTAATCATCATTGGTTATATGTATTTTTATTAATTCATAGCAAAAATAAAACACAAAAATTAGTATTTAAATATTGTAATATATATATTAATATTTTAATAATACATATGTATAATATTCTTTTGAAGTTGAAATCAATAACCATTTAATAAAAAACTTTTATAAAAAATAAAAAACATTTTTCAAATATACAAATAACTAAAAAACATGCATGAATTGAATTAACTATATCAATTGGCAAGTTAAAGTCAATTTGTATATTAACTCATTTGACATTCATGATTGTAAAACTGATTTAAAATTTTTCAATCAATATTAAATCCATTAACCTCACCATACATTTTGCTCAATTTTATATTTGGATTCGTTTTGTAAAGTCATTTTTAATGCATATAAATTTAGAATTTAAAATAAAATAAAATAATTATTTCAAATGTTTTTTTAAACAAGTGAGTTTTTTTTAAAAAAATAATTCATAAATGACATGCAAAAGGTAGTAAATTTAATTAATATTAATAATAAATAACGTTTATGATGGTTTTTTTTTCTTATTTTGATAATATTTACCACATAGCAAAATGTGTAATCATGTTTGTGCTGTACAAATTTTTACTTATATTCTACCATTGAAATTTCATATAATAAATATTGAAGATAAATTTTGATGTATAAATTAATATACGAAATGTTAAAATTGATATATAAAAATTATTTTTCAACATTTCATGTACTAAAAAATAATCAATAATTAACTATTTATTGGTTTCAAAAATGATTTTGAACTTTTCTATGTGAAAAATCAATGAAAGAATTTCTATATAATTAATTTTCATATAAAAATATTTGACAATTTATACAAACTTAACATATATAAACATTGCAATGATGATTCAAAGTTAACAAAAATTTCCTTGAAGTTTATCAGGAATAAAAATCACACATTTTTTGTATTAACTTTAATAAATTGCATGCGGATCAAATGATATTTTTGTATTGCACATATTATTACTGATAAAAAACATATGGATGTTGCTATGAATATACCGAACACTTCAAAATTCAAGCCGAGAAAGTGATTATCAAAGATAAATTTTATATTTAGGTTATTGGTTGAAGATGTATGGAATTATTGTAGTTTGTCTACAATTCATTACAAATTTATCTGTTGATTTTTTTTTCTATAAATAATTTGCTTCATACAAAAATGATCAGTTATTCAAAAGTTTGATTCTTAATTACCCAATGTTTTCAAGGTAATCCAAATCTTCAAATGTAAGTACTATATGATCAACTTGGAGAAAATTTTGAAAAGAATTCATGTTTACATAAAAATTTTGATCAAAGAAATCAAAAGAAGATTAAGATCAAAAAATATATAAGATTGATGCAATGCACTGATACGAAATTATGGAGTTACTTACACAAAATTTACGTTGATACACAAGTTTATAATAGGTGAGTAAAATAATCTAACGCGGTTTTATTTTCCATCATGATATTTTGGTAATTTAATGAATGAAACTAAATAGCTTTTACAATTAATTGATTTATACCAAATTATCAAAAAACAACAAAAGCATACAAAAATTGTCAAATCTGAGTAAATTATGACTCATAATATTGTATGAAAAAAATAAATGTTCTAAAGTTGGATTAGCAAGAAAATCTTGTGTTATAAATACAAAATTTGAAGATGGCAACTAATGCAAATAACCTACAACAGTTTCATATCCCCAAAATTATTTCCCGGGAGATATGTGCCGAATACTCCAGCTTGTACCCTACATAATTCTATAAAATAAAAAATTTGTTGTTGAGGGATAGATGAATAAAAATAGTACAAAAAACTCGGAGGCTTTTCCGGAAGGTACAAGTCATCACACATATCCTACACGGAAAAGAGTCGAGTATGAAAAGAGGAGATTAGGTAGATGACATTTTCTCACGTACTGTGCATGTCCATTGTCCTCATGACTGATCTCTCTAGAGTCTGAGGTGAACGGTTACCGGTTTACCGTTGGCGGAAGTCATCGTCGTACGTTGACGACATGGACAGAAATTACCATACGTCCACATCACAGTCCAGGACAGAACCCGTAGAGTACCGGAGGCAGGTGCTTACAGAATTCTGTTATTACGCTACGTCGAAAGTGGATTTGTGTGGCCAACTTGGTGGAGTAAAACTGCAATGTGGTTGAAGGGCAGAGCAACACAGTAACTCCGTTACAGTAGGTAGAGCTGAGATTTTGAATCCCAGCGGGAATTCGCTCATCACGCCCTCGTCGCCTCTTTGAACGTACTCACTTGCTCCCACGCTCATGCCCGTCTCGCTGCCAACGATTCCCTGCTCAGCAGTTTGTGTCGGTGTTCGGTAATTCACGCGCAATCTGCTGGCCCGCACCCACTTCATCGGGACCTGTCGTCGAGGAAGACCGGTTGCCGTCTAGAGAGCTCTTCCTGTCGATGGTGGTGTCTTCCAAAGACGATTCTTGTTTTGCGAAATCGAAGCTCGGGAAGATCATCACCTGCGCTAGCAGTGCGGCTTACTCTTTTCGAGATTACACGCAGGAGCCAGGTATAGTGGCCAAGGGCGTTCAGAACAATGTTGCAGTTATTGTGTCTTGAACTTGCTATTGTGATTCGGAAGTGTTATACAAGCTCAACAGGGCTCGAATGAATCAAGAACCTGGAACTTAATTGTCGTTTTGATACTACCTGTCTTTTCCACCCTTCCAATGTGGTGCGCCTCATTAGCCTACGTGAATTTCGCGACCTGTGAACCCAATATCTCACAGAAAATCTGAACCGTGATTATTCAAAGCTTTCATACATCTCTGTCTCTGTATTTGTGGATCGCAATTGTGCATGTTCGTTTCTCACTCCTTGTCCGACGTATTCTCGTAAATTTTTCAAAATTTCCAGGAAATTATAGGTGATGGCTTCTGCAATGTAGACACAAAATTGATACTTGCATGAAGTCGAGCTAAATCGTACATTGGCCAGATGATGCACGTATGTGGCCATTTACGTGCTCAAAACCTGGTTTTTTGAAACTAGCAGTTGGTTCTTTATAGGCGTCCATTGCCCGTGTAGACGTCAGAGTTGAGTCAGTTTGTTTAGAGCCGGGGAGCTCGTATACACGAACGTCCCGGATTCGGGATAGCTGCGATGAGGATGGAGTTAGAGTATGCCCCATAGCCTGTCGAGTTCGCATAAGATTAGCAGCCAAAACTCTGATTAAATTTCAAATGCAGATTCGGTTTCAAAAGCTCGCCATACTTCTCTCGCTCTCTGAATGCATCATCCTAAGTAGCGGAGGTTTGCTGAAAATCGATCGGAGAATTTCAGCATGAGGTTGGTGCGGAGAAAGTCTCGGAAGCCGGAAGCTAGTAAGGTCAGTATGTTAGTCCTCACAAATTTTCAACTAACTTTCTTGAAGTTGTACCTAGTCTACATCAGTAAAATAGACCAAATCGTTTGATAAGGCCTCCCTCAAGTTGGGGTTCAGAACGTCCATAGATGGTTCGATTGGGGCTTTGAGGACTGCTAGAAGCCGATATTTTGCATGCTAAGTATCCAAGTTATCCAAGTTAAGTAATACTTGTGAATTATGCTCCAGAGAGTGTCAGGGTTCTCTCAACGCGAACTGACACATTGGGGCTCTCCATTTTGAAATGGCATGCAGTTGGACCTCGAACGAGTTATTGGCCTCACTACAAGTAACGCGAATGGACTAGCCAGTAATCCGGCTACGGGGGATATTGCTTACATAGCTGGTTGTGTCGTGGTGGTGTACAATGTGAAAAGTAACAGTCAAACCAAATTTTTAACCTCTACCAAAAGCCAGAAGGCGTTTTCTTGCGTTGCTTATTCTTACTCCGGAGGAAAATTCATTGCGGCTGGAGAGGTATGTACGGTTACACTATGCTGCATAGCATTTGGATGGACTCCTACTTGTACATGAATCCAAATTTGTCTAAGGCTACTGGTCACTAGACCAGTCGTTTATGAATTGTAGAGATCTATTCCTGATAAGCTCATGCGAACTATTGCTGTCATATGGTGCTGTCGTCAATGGAATGTACTTGGTCATTCCATGGTGATGTCAGTTTTAAGACGAGTTACTCTGCTGTTTAAGTCCCTCCACCTGACCTTTGAGCATTTTTTTTTCTAATTGCTGCTCCTCCTCTTTACAGACGGGCCACCAACCAGCTGTGGTAGTCTGGGAGGCTTCGACAGGCGCATCTGTTGCTGACCTGCGGACCCATAAATACGGAGTTTCCTGTGTCGAATTTTCCCCAAATGGTTAGTGGTCTCTGTAAGATCGAGACTTTTCTGCGAACCTTGGCCTGGAACATGTCTTCTGTTGCACATTCTGCCATTTTGACTAGATTGCAATGCTACAGCATTTGCTTGTCTCCCAGGTGATGATGTTAATTTATTTTTAGAAGAGTTACGTTTTGCTTCACGTCATATTAACAGCTTCCTTTGACTCACCAGTTTATAAAATCAACTACTGCAGGAAAATACCTTCTGTCGGTTGGCGTTCCTCACGATGGCTTCTTGTGCCTGTGGGACTGGAAGGGTGGAGTGTTGCTTATCAAGACAAGGTCTACTGCCGCAACTTTGCTCACAAGCTCAGTCCATTTCTCATCAGATGGTAGCTATTTTGTGACCGGAGGCACAAAGCATCTCAAGCACTGGACTATAGGAGGCCAAGGGCAGGGTGGACGTGCTCGTTCCGCTGGAGGATTAGGAACAATAGCACTGGAAGGCAGACCAGTCAAGCTTGGAAGTCAAATGAGGAGCTCATTTGCTGCTATATCTTGTGCCCGTCCTCTTAAAGATACAATTGGCACTTCTGACACGCAACCCCTTTATGCGCTTACCACTGCGGGTAACCTCCACCATACTCATTAGATTTAATCTTTCAAGCAAATGTCAGGGACAAATGAGCCAGCTATTAGACACTAGCTGGCGCGAGCCAAGGTTCGTGACGTCACTCGTCGCAGACACATCTTGCAAACTATCCGTACTGATCAGGGAAGCCGTATGGACTCTGTAAAAGTTGTCTTCTGTTCCTCAAAAAATCCTCAGGTATCTGAGTGATCATTATCTAAAGTGTATGATCACTATTTTCTAAGCAGCTTGTCCTGAGTTTGATGATAAGGGTGCTCTAGATTCCTCATCACATTTCTTCGGCATAAAATTGTGCAGGTGTACTCTGCCTGCTTCATTGTGGCGTGGCCGTAGAGAAATGGGTTGATTTAAGGGTTCGTTTCTCATGCTTCATGTACCCTCACACTGCTTTCTTTATATCTCTGACAAAGATACTCCCCTCAATGTGCCTTATAGTATTTGATAGCTAACACACATAGTGACGCATTAGTACTTCTCTTTTTATCTTCCTCGTTCGTTTTGGATGAAAAATTACATGATGTTAAGAACGTGTACCTCTGGAATGAGTTATTTTGGCTGACTGAGGGACTATGGTATCACATCCAGGTTCGCCGAGGATATGGCTTGGCTGTCTCAGAGACCCACATAGCATGTTCCTGTAGCGATGGAATTGTACGAGTATTTCTGCAGCTAAGCCTTGCATACGCTGCCACAATGCCTCGACCTGCGCCATACGGTTTTCATGGACTAACAGATGGTAATGCTGGCATGGTTCTTGCCATGGGCCAGCGGCTGCAACCAGGAATTAATTTTCCAGATGCTGTTGCTTGTCAGTTTCTTCATGAAGGCCAGAAACTAGGTGAGTCTATCTATTCAATTTACGTTCTTTTCTCATTTGTTAAAAGCCCCAATCCACCCGTTTTTGGCTGATTTTTCACGATCTTCTTTTGCAGCTGTAATATATGGAGACCACAGCCTTTTCATTTGGGATGTTGGAAACTTCAACAAGGTTTGTAGTTTTTGATGCTGTTATCTTGTACGGTACATGGATATGAGTGCATGATCTCTTCATGGTCCTATAGTTTTCTCAACCGACAATATTAAGTGAACGATATGGATTAGTAGGAGCTCCGGTGTTCAAACGGAGCTCGTAATACTTTTTGTAATGGATTTTATGGTACTTATATGTCAACCAGTTTTCTCTGAGTCTCACTAGCTGCTTATGTGTATTGTAACAGCCCGATTTGGCAATCGTTCCTGTCTATTATCTGACGCGAAGCTCTTGATGCTTAGTGACTAGACTGAACAACTGTTATTCGTTGGATGTGCCAGATTGGAAAACATCGAGCTTTCTTGAGCCATAGCGGGTGCATCTGGGATTTGAAGAACCTGCCAACATGGCAATCGGAATCAGCTGATTTAGAGACTACTGAGAGAGATGGTGCTGCGGGAGCAATTGCAACCTGTTCTGCTGATGGTAGCATTAGGATCTGGAATATGAGCCTCGGGGAAGAGGCAGAACATCTTGCCTCCCCTGGTCCCGAAGCGAGACCAGGAAATATATACAGCAAGGAGCTATTAGGCGTCTTGTACCTGGGTATGTGTCTCTTCCAAGAAAATACTGTTAGATGAGTTGCCAAAAAAAAAAAACCAAGTAGTTTCAGAATATCCACATTCGTAGCTAGGATGATGTGTAAGTACGCTTTAACCACATAGCTCTGATATAGATCCCTTTTATGATTTCCTTCACTTTAACTTACTCCCTCGTTTTCATGCATCTCGCAACTTCCAATGCTGCATTTCTGCTGCAGACCCTACGGTGGAACTTAAGGATAAGTGTACTGGCGGTGGATCAGAGGATGATTTTGTGGACACGACGCAGGGTTTTCGGTCCATTTGCGTAAGCCCAGACGGATTGCATTTAGCCGCAGGAGATCGCAGTGGGAATCTTCGTGTTTACGACTTGGAAACAATGAAGCTCATAAGCTTTCAGGTAATTTTCTATGATGTACTCGACAAGGCGGACATCTTGCCAATGGAATGATTATGATGTTTCAAAAGTCAATGCCCTGTATGATGCATTTCAAGGTAGGGTACAAAGATTTGTGAGGATATAGAAGTGTACTCGAAATAGGTCACTGATGATGTAAATATTTGACAGGTGTTGGTCAAATGTGCCATTGTGGGGAACTGGGCAGGAAGCGCATGATGCAGAAATTCTCTCACTGAGCTTTACAGCTGTGATGGAGGACAAGATCCCTGCAAAGAACGAGGATTTTGAACCCCCGCTATTGCTCGCTTCAGGTGGTAGAGATCGACTCATCCACGTATATGACGTTAGGAGGTAAGACTGTAACATGACAAAATAGAAACTAGGAGAAGTATCAGAAATTTTTGTCCACAATATAGGGAAGGAGTTTTACCCGATTTCAAATTATGTGATAAGTCGTGGTTATAATATTGCTCATAAAATTCCTGATTAGTTATCTCGATGATCTTACATAGTTTTTAGCTGGGAACATATCTTGCATACTATTGCTGGTCAAGAGTTTCTGTCTGTCTTCGCAAAAAATGTAAAGAAAATGCGTTAATGTGCTTTCCAGGGACTATGATGTTATTGAAACACTTGATGATCATTCAGCATCGATTACTGCTGTGAAGTTTCGCTGCAATGGATCCAAACTGCTGAGCTGCAGCGCAGACAAGTAAGGACTTCTTCCATATTGTACAAAAGGACCATGCCTTGTGAAGAAAGGAGTTGTTCTCACATGCTCATTCAAATACTTCAACCCTGTAAAGGAGAGAAGAACAAGACGGACATGAAGAAGAGAGCAAACCATATATTCTTAATTAGAACCTTGTACGAAAGCTTCGGGATCAGAATTTCTCTTGTGACTTGGAACTGTGCAGGTCTGTTGTATTCCGGAACGTTGTATCGTCACCTACTGGTTGTAAGAGCGTGCGCTATCATCAGGAAGTGGCGCCACGTGGGACAATATATGACTTGGATGTAGATACATCGGAAAAGTTTGTGGTCACAGTCGGCCAGGTTTCCCTTCTGTCTTTAAATCTTATTGTTGTTTTGGAGAAACATCATTTCATGGCGTCAATAAGTTTTTTCGTTCTTGTTTATATAGAATACAGTCCATTTTGTTTGGAAAAAGCTGCAATTAGAATAAAAAAGCTTATTGCGTGCCTGTAGCTGCTTTTTGGACTCTAATCAGCTGAGTGTTCTTAGTCTTTATTTTCGTTCATTCTGATGTCTACAAATATCAATCTGTAGTAACCGCCCATTTTTGGACAGGAGATAATCTTAATGTTTGGTCCTTGTCTTTTTTCAGGACAAGAAGATAAATGTCTTAAATCTAGCATCTGGCAAGCCTGTACGATGTTTCAAACCTGAAGGTGATGCTGGCGAAGCTATTAAGGTAGGATTACTTCTGCGACTTCTTTTCATACTTCGTTGAGATGTGAGTAGTGTTCTACCAACATCGTAAACTGGATGATACTGAGCTTCACAAGGAGGTAGAAGGTCAAAGTGCTTTATTTCTTGTAACAAACCAGCTTCTAATGGCCACGACCGACTGTAAGGTGTTGAAGCTGAGTGGCGGCTCAATATTCAGTGGTTCTTATTACAGCTCCATTGCGTTGATATATATGACTTCCAGGTACAGTTTGATCCAAGTGGAGCTTACGTAGTATGTTCGCATACTGATAAGTGCCTTAGAATATACGAATTCTCAACTGGGGAGCTCATAGCACAGGCAGCTGGACATGCCGAAGTCATTACCGGTGTGACGTTTATGCCAGATTGTCAGCGCTTGGTTTCGGTAAGCTTATATATCGTATATTTGAATTCCTGCATTGTCCTGGCAATTTTGAAATTACTGGAACTGTTCATGGTATAAAACTTTCAGGTTTTTCGTTGATAGACAGTCAGGTATTTTCGAGCAACGGATTTTGAAGTGCTTTACCGTCTGTGCACGTGGCACGAGGTATTGCTATTTCCAATTGCAAAATTGAGATAGTCTATACTGAGGCAGTTTGAACATGAACTGCAGGTCAGTGGAGATTCGTGCATTTTCGTCTGGAAATTACCTGTCGGCATGACCCGAGCCATGAAAAAGAGATGTGCTACACAGGCTGAGTGCCAGTCTCCTCGAAGGTCTAGGGCGTTGTCGCGAAGCTCCAAAAATCCCCTATGTGGTTTGAGACTCTCCAGATCCATCTTGCCTATAACGGATTTGACAGATGAGATCCCGAAAAGCACAAAGAAAGAACATGGCTTGAATGCAGAGTTTGAACTTGAAGGTGTTGCCCTTACCTTTGAGACTAAAGTCCACGACGACGGGATGGAAGATGTCATCACGAAAGACTCGAGTGTCGTACAGAAGGAGGATGATGAAACACCTACGTTCAAATTCAGTGTGTCAAGGTTGCCTACTTGGGCTCAAGCAAAAGTTGCTCAAGAAGGAAGGTCTGGGAGTGGTGGGAAACATGGTCAAGAAAAGGAAAAAAGCCCATTTCAATCATCATTTGAATCGCGGTGGGCAGAGGTTGGTCATGTCTTTGACACCCTGTGAGCTAAATATGACTGCTTAAGCGGTCTTCAAATCTTTTTGTCTCACCTTTGCCCTCTGCGGGGAACTGATTTTGGGATAGATACAGTATTTGTATTCCAAAATCAGTTCGTGCGGGCATTGCTGTGTTTCTTTAGAGACGGAAGAGGGTTCAGTGGGTCTAACGTGGACATTGATTCGTACAGACATTCGAGTTTATATGTACATTCATTGAACAGCATTTCGAATTTATTATCTTAGTGGTGATGCTCATTGTTTTAAACTGATATCAGAGACTTGGAACTGGTGGATATAAACTATTCTCCGAATTTATGGAGGAGTTGACGCCCCCAGCTACCATTCGTCCAAGTGAATTCGGGACTAGAAGACGTTTCACTTTGGAGGGAGGTGCAACAACGACGGTCGTTAGCCATAATACACCTAATAGTGTTATTTCTCAGCAGTCTGATTCAAGTTCGAAGTCAAGCCCAACGGATCCTCCGAGGTACAAGACACGTTACCATGCCTTTTTCATTATATAGCGTAAACTAGGAGCATTACGATTTTCACAGCTGGATTTCACAGGTAACGGAGGTTCAGTTCGAGTCACTATGTTGCCCTGCATCTTATCGAAATATGAACTAAACGATGTTACGTGCTTAAACGGAGGATGCTGTTGATAGCTTTGCATGTCCGCTTCATGTTAGCTACCCTGAAAGAAAGCAGTGAGGTTGCCATTCATCACATGACCTGCCTTTGTAAAAATTTTCACAGGAAGGAAACCGTTTGGAAAACCGTTCATACTGTTTTCTTTGATGAGCTTGATTTCCCGCAAGACGAGTCTCCTAGCAATCATGGGGTACTCCTCACTATGACCGCAGCTCATGATGAAGAACGAGATTCTGAAAATCCGCTAGCCCGGAAACGTAGCGAAGCGCCTTGTATATTATCAGAGAGTTCCCAGGCTTCTGTGACGTCCAAAGCAGACAGGGAGAAGCAGCCTAAAGTTAGAGATGATGATGAAGACGGGGTTGTCGTGTATCTTTCGGACAATGAATTGGAAACTGTTATCATAGAGACACAGAGACCTCAACTTGATCACTTTATCGAAGGAAAGGAAGATGAGAAAAAGGTTCATTTTGGAAATCCACCAGTCGTTACACCAGTGCAAACATCTGTCTGCAACGCAGACACTGAAGGATTAGAAGTTTTCGCTGTCTTGAGGAACCAGGATACAGGATCTTCCGATGTTTCCCAAAGTTCTTCGGTATGCTCTCACGAGTCGACAAAGCACATTGACATAGAGGGTGAGGGACGAGTGTCTTCACCAAAAAAGTCAGCAGCAAGCGGGGCAGATGATGAAATGGCCAGTGATATTGTGCCCTCGAGTCCTTGTGCTGATCCCTTCGTTTCACTTGGTGAACTTTCAGTCAACATGCTGGTGAGTTTATTTAACCTTTCACCTTTTCCGGTGTTTTTCGATAGCGAAGGATGTTCAAGAAGTGGCGCAATTTATTGAGCGGAATTATAGTAAGGACGTTAGCAAAGGGAGACAGATGAGTGGGGATATTGGTCTTCTATCACAGGTCAAATCTGGTAGTTTGAACATGTAATCTGCATTGGTTAATGCAGTTGAAGAGTGCACCGCCATCCACAGCAAGGAGAAGCTTTTCGTCGAAGTTTTTTGCCAATTCGAGTTCAGGCTTGCCAGGAATCTCACTCAATCCAAATATATCAAGTGGTTTACGGAAAACAAGCGACGGAGATACGGGTCTTTTGCAGGATGATGATTTAGACAGCAATCCTGGACGACTTCTGGCGGCTGAACGTGAGCGGCTGAAGCTGCGTGAGAGGCAGGTGAGGAACGCAGGAAGATTTTTTCGGTTCTTTCGAGGTTTCTGGATTTAGGGAAGGAGTGCAGTGATCTAACAGGATGGCGCGTTTGACTCGTAGTCTTTTTCCTCTTGTTACAATCTGGAGTACTCACAGTACATTTAAATAGAATAATTCCTTAGCCTTTTGCAGTTCCAGAATTGTGATGTTTGTAGAACGGGTGATATAGCCTTTCACTCATTTATTCCGCTGAGAAGCTCTATGCATTTAAGACACCTAGAAGTTGAAGTAATGATTGACTCATCACCAGATCGTTTCAGTGAACCATTAGAAAACGACGTAGCCCTATTGCTTTATATCGATATGATTGCTAACTCGTTTAATCATCAGGACAAGATGGCGGTAGAAGTGCAGCGAATGCGTGAGCGTCTCGTGAATCTGGGCATTGCAGTTGCAGAAATTGCTAACGATGGGGAGCCTTTTGAATGCCGCAAGGGTGCTGGAGATGAAAGACAATCTGAACAGACGTCACCCACCTCAGAGACCCCTGACTGTATGCCCTCAGCAAGCCCTTCATTAGTTCAAGAATCCAATAACGAACGAGTGTTGTCCACTCAATCTTCGACAACAATACCTTTGAGTTCTTCTTCATCACATAATGTTAATTCCACTCCTAGCGTGTTCAGTTTTGCTCAGTTTTGCAAGATCCCCAATTTTCCCCGAAAGTTACACTCTGGTAAGGATGGGCATGAGGAAAGAACGTTGAAAGCCGAGAAGAAAGCCCCCGAGAGTATACTCAGAGAGGGGGAAACTGTAGCCAGTCCTATAGGAGAAAGAGAATCAAGGCCCGCTGATACCTGCAAAAATGGCAAGGAACTGGGACCAAATAAATCCCCTAAAATTTCTACATCTTCTAACAGTGGACTTCGTACTGATACGCAACCTGTGCTCCCCAACAATCTCAGTGGTTTTCATCCCTCAGCAGGTCTGCAAAACTCGCCTTTGCAGTCCACATCAATGTCTTTCCTTTCTGTAGACGATGATTTGAGCTCTGGGGAAAGCTACGCAGCAACATATCATGGTTGTTCTCTGAAGGAGGAGATTGTAGAAATGACTGTGACCTGCACAGGAGCTGGTTGGGACTTCTCTCCCATGGAGTTAACAGACCATGATGAGGGAGCCGATGCCGCGCACAGTGGTTCAGGTATTTTATTGAAGTCCAGGCATTCAAAATTTTTGTTTATTTTTGAAGACTTCAACTTGATGTATTTGAGTACTTACTTTACGTTCTGGTTCTTCAGAAATTTCCGAGCAGGAAGTGGAGCAAAATGGACCTTCTTGTCCGCCATCAGAGGCCACGATCGACTCACCGTTATCGGAACCAGCCATGCCCATTTTCCTCCCTCGATGTAAACAAGTGTCGAACCCTCTCCAAGATTACACAAATGCACTGCAAGAGTTGGTCGAGGCTGCCGATAGAGCGTCGATGTTATTTGAACAAGTAAGGAACGCTCGATCAGGACAATCAACGTCTGCCATATCCAATCACGAAGATGACAGCACTTCCCAAATGCTCTTGCCGAAGGCTTTCGAGAAGGTTCAAAAACTTGTTCAAGAAGCAGGTCCGATAGACTTTCTGAATCGTTCAGCATCTGTTGAGCTGCGAGGTCGGTCCGACATGCCAATGTCTGCCGTAACCTCTTCGGATCAGTGCTTCCTATTTCAGAGATCTTCTGGAAATGGTAATTCTGTCTACTTTCTTCGATACGACAAAAGTATCTCCTGTTTGACAGCTTGTACAACTAAAAGTGCTATTTTCTCACATAATTCCTTTTGATATGCTCTTCTTCAGGCGGCATCTCCTTCTCTAGGCCACAAACCGGTGTATCCGTAGCCTCGGAGTCGTTGTCATCGGTGGATATCGATAGCTTCATCGACAGATATTCAACCCAATTTTCTCAAACATTAGCTTCACAAGTTCTTGCTCTGGTTCGGAGTGGTCTAGATGAGACGAAGACATCCTAAACGAGCATCCCAACTGTGAGGAGGCTGAGAAATTTCTTCTGAAAGTGAAATTTGCTCTTCTGACTTCACTATCACGTGCGTCTTAGTTAGAACCCTGCATGCGCAGAATTTCTGGATCTGTTATTGGTGATTCCTCTATTAGGTTCGATCAGCACCTACCTGCGCGCAGAGTTTTTAAACCTGTATATTATTTCTTGTTGTCTACCACTTGAAAGTTAGCCCTAAAGGAAGCAGTAGACGTCAACATACGCCATGAATCATAGTGTACTCATAATTTCCCGATCATGTACTTTACTTTTCAGGAGCATTAACTGACTTTGTTGGATACCATTTCATTCTTGTCCCCGACTATGTGCGCAGCACTACCAGTTAATTCCAGTCACTTCGCGCGAAGCGCTCCTTACGCTGACTAGTCTTGTGCTAACGTGCAACACCAGTACATGCCCATAGACATGTAATGGTCAAGCTAAATTGGTAGCCCATGGCCAACGACAGTAATTGGAAATCTTGGAATTCCAAATAAAAAATTTTCCAAGACAAAGACGTGAAGTACTGTCTCTGCTTTCCAAACACCTCTTGCTGCTAAACCGTCAGCTTAGTGTGATCTCATGAGGTTATTCAAATAGCAGTCACGTTTTGACCATATAGTTGTAAGTTGACCGGATGTTTTGTCCTGATCATTTAATATCGATTCATATACCGAATCATCTGAGCAAAACATTATGAATGCGCATGATGGTTTTCTCTCTCTACTTGTCGAGCAGTCTCACCAGTTCAAACCATCCGGGTGAAAGTCCCACGGGTTGTATCGTAGCAAATAGTAAAGGTCAGGCAGGAAAACTGACTATTAAACGTTGAATCTCCTTTATTCACTCTTCCTCCTCCAGTATCATGTTTGATATGTGGACTTCATCCCAAAATGACCTAGCTTTCAATCCCTTGTTTAGTGCTTTGTGGAGTGAAAGTGGATTGAATTGCGAAACCTTGTCCAGAAGATGTGGATGTTATACTATGAATCTAAATTACGAACATTATATTCCAAAAGACTCATGAGAATGAACAAAAGGATTTAATGTGACCACATGTAATGTTCTTGACCTCAGCTTATTCGATGTACCTTACCAAATTTATCAAAGTTGCTCTCTCTCTCTTATACTCCGTGGTTTTATCAGCGTTATGGAAGGTATAGGAACATCAATTCAAATATCAAAAACCCAATATATTTTTATTTATGAAGATTTCTAGATTCAATCTCATTGACATTCATATGCATATCATTGTTGGCGTTGAAACAAGTTTAAAATATGAGGCTTGAATGAATGAAGCTCTTCATCACAAAGATATTCATTGGATCTATTCTAATGTATCCGTGTGTTGAAATAATCTAAGAGTTTTTTCTTCTCAGAATTGGTCATATGAAATTTTTTGAATCTAAATATCAATTGTAATTAGTCACATATTCTATTATTCTCTTAAATTGTCAATCAGCCTAAATGAAGCAAATAATATGCAATCAATTTTGAAATTATCTTAACAAGAAATTCTTTTTCCAAATCAAATATTAAAAACTAACATAGTCATTAGAAATATATTTTTATGATAAATAACTATAGTTTGTCAAGGAATTTTATATAGAAAATTTCAAAATTCAATATATTTTATAGTGTTTTTTTATGTATTTATTTAATAAAGATTTAATTTGGTAATTCAATTCAACATATAATATTGTAACATGAGATGCACGAATAGACATAAAAGATACAAAAAGAGAAATTCACAAGCACAATGTCAACAAAAATGAAGTTGACTTGAGATTGTGAATTATGTCCATTAGAACAACAATGTCTTCAATGAAACCTTACCAAGTGTTTAATGCAAGTCGTGTTTCACTTTTTTATATACTGTACACAAGGTAGTAAAAGTTATGGTTTGGACCATAACTAATATTAAGTCTAAACCTTATTCTATTTCAATTTAATTTAACTACAGTTTAATCTTACACTTGGGTTAAAACTACCAATCTACATTTTGACTCATGTTGTGTGGACAAACTTCTCTATAAAAATACATAATTAATCTGCAATAAATTCTATATGGAAATCTAACATAGACTATTATGTAGACTAGACTTAATTAGTAAATATGATGTAACCAAAATAGAACAAATAGATTTATATGGAATTAACAAAATTTGCTTGTAAATTCCAATTGTGTTTTTCATGCAAAATCTCCATAGTTGAACTTGCAAAAATATTAATTTTGATCATCACATTAGCTAGATTAAATTTACCAACAATCTTGACCAACTCAATATTTTCTTTTAACACAAAATTTATGATAAAGTGTTATTTAATGACAATGCGTTTCACTTTGCTTTTCATGATTTGATCTCAAACAAGAACTATAGCACTTTGATCAACAATATTAACGCAGATTGACAATTTTTTGTTTCAACACTATAATAGTGACAAATATATTGAAACAAATAGCATTGGTTGCTACTTCTACTACCGTTACTTATTCAGCTTGTGGATTGAATTATGCATTTTTGCAAGATAGATGTCGATTTACGCATCCATCATCAAGTTTAAACACACATTCAGATGTCAATTTTTTCTTGTTTAGAACTTGATCATAATGAGCATAAATATGACCTAACAAGGATTTGACATTGTTTAATTTATTATCAAACAAGGTATAATAATAATTAATTATCTTCAGTCAAATGAACATGCATTTCATTGGTTTTTAATTTGAATTAGCTAAATTTGATATGTATTTGCTCACCTTGCCCATAAATCATCTATATTTGTTGTTAGAGTCTAGCATGTTAAATCTCTCAAAGAAACATTATACATACTCTTTTTAATTCAATCACATGTTCTTATCAAATACTTTTTGTTAAATATCAGCTGATTTTTGCATATAATAATGTCTAATTGATTTTTGGACAAAATTAACATGTCATGCATTTAAACAAGTGAAATAATGAGAATTAAGATTTCATTATTCTAGTATGAAAGTGGTATTAATGAATTTATCCAGATTCATATTTCACTCTCACAATTATGCAGCAATCTATATAATTATTCTAGCAATCTACATAAAAATCTCTCTAGATCTTTTTACTCAAAGCCAATTGGTTATTTTGTGTAGATTTTCTTCTCTAAAGATGCAAAAAAAATTTGTAGCTACAATGCTTTATTAGATTAAATGAATTAATTTTTTTTTCATTTTAGAAAATGTGATTAGACCAAACATTGTTCAAGATTCAATGTCATGGACATTTCTTGGTGAGTTGCAGAATGTAAATCTTTGTCATTGTAGATCATCTTTGAACAAATTATCAAATTTTAAGATCAAAATCTTGAATTTCACACAAAAAATTCTTTTTAATTGTCAAATTTTGGCAAATTTCAAATAATCTATAGTCTTTCTCTCTAGAAATTTACTTCTAAAGAGTAATATATCCTTAGATCTATCGTGCTTGACATACTTGTCATTTTGAATATGCTAATTTTAAATTAGATTTTGTAATATATTAGAAGATGTAAATGGAAAAGATGTGAGCATCATTTTTTATAGTACATCATAAGTCAACATAACACTTACAACTTTGTGATAATTGATTGTGTGTCAAAAAGTTCGTATTAACACACTTACACTTGACAAAGTTTGACATAAAGCAAATAGTGAACTTAAGAAATGAAAAACATTTTGTCAATAACTTATCTTTTTTAAAATCAATCACAAGATCATCAAATGCATCAATATAATTTTGAATCCTCGTGCTAATATCTTTCATCTTGAACTCGATCAGTCTTATGAAAACATACAAATTGTTTAGCAAGTTTTGACTACAACAATTTCTTTGCAACACAATGGCAATTCTTTGCAATGAAACCGTTGTTCAAAAGTCTCAAACAATAAAATAAAATCAACATACTCATCTAGTTGTGTCCAAATCAAGTAGTGTAATTATAATATGACTATGCTCACAATATGTTACTTAAGATTACTTCTATATTTTTGTTGTAGATGAAAGGTTTTAAACTTAATTTTTTGCCTAGATTTATAACATTGAGCTTGATCTTCATTATCTTCTCCAAAGCATATAGTCATCATGCTTATTATATTTGATTTTTATATATACTTTATCATTGACTTTGTGATTGTCATCCGATTTTATCAAATATGTTGAGATTAATTCTAATTAAGGAGTAAACTTAAGTTCTAGCTAGGTTAGTCATCAATGGTTATATAAATCCAGACTTTGTGTATCACCAAAAGATACATTTGAGTATATTCACGCAAGAGCTTTTCTTGTGAACTTCTCAAGTGAACGTAGTCATATGTGGTGTATCACGTTACATTGGTATCTTGATTCATTGTGTTTTACTATTTTTGATTTTAAGTTAATAGTTAAATAGTTGATATAAAAGCATGGTTACGTCAATGATCGCATGGTGACTCTTAGATTCTGACTGTTCTAAAATTTTTGCTAGTTTAGAAAATTATTGACATGTGGTGCGTATCTTTGAAAGACTATGTGGTCGTGATGTGTCACAAAAGTTTGAGTAAAAGGTTGAACGGACAAATTCACGAGGTAACAAAAATGCGTAAAATGATCAGAAGACAGAAGACATAGACAGAAGCTGATCTGCTTGTAGAATGACAAATTTGTTGAAACAAATTTTATGGCAGAAATTTGACTATCAAAATCTACAATTTTTTTTTTTTTACGCTATTAGCTTTAACAAGTGGACCAAACGCACAATGCCGACAAGACTATCCATTATTTGGTGTTGTTATGTACCAAGTATATTTTCTCCTGATCTGACCAAACAGATCACAAGAAGAAACAATGACCAGTTGTTTCGAAGTTGCTTTCAATCCAGCTAGCGGACAAGATTATTCAGAGAATGTATGATTCAAAAGATGACTTCTTTATCCATCGGAATCTGGGACTACATCTACCTCAACTGGTGGTTTTCCATCGCTGAAGATAAAGACATCTATCTATCAATTTGCGTCATCAATGATCATTATGCGATTGACTTTTTTATCATGCGTTAGGTTTAAGATTTTTTGTACTTTGTATTAAGAGTCATGTAGTAAAAGATTTTCTTGTTAATAGAGAAGATCTAGCATTGATTTATGCTAACCAATTATTTTCTGATCAATAAAGACTAAACTAAACACATGTGACATGACTAGATATGTGATAATAAAAGCGGTGATAAGCACAATCCAGAAATGAATTAGTATCCCATTTGTACCTTGATAAGAAAGCAAGCGCGATGGGACTAAATTATGCATGGCTGGATATGTGATAATCCAACAGGTGATAAGCACAACCCGGATATGAATAAGTATCCCATTTGTACCTTGATCATGACGTGAACAGAAAGCAAGCTTGTTGCTCACTGTTGTGACCAAATCGGAGTTTTGTTTTCTGCTTTTGTCTGAACATTTTGTGTCATATTCAAAACATGGAAGGTTTAAGAGTCTTATCATCCATCGAGACATAGATTCTTCAATTACTACAACTAGAGAATGAAAGCCGAGAGATTTTGTATAAACTATGCCTAATGAGGATATATGGCGTCCAGACCAGGAAAGATCGTTAAGCAGCCTTTCTGTCCTGTCAAAATCGGGTCAAGGGAGTACCACATTTCAACCTTGCGCGTTCCAAGGCTCTGACC